CACTAATGGAAAAGGAAAACAACAACTGTGTTGCTCTAGTGTTTGATAGGTATGATCATCCACACTCAATCAAAGACATGGAAAGGCAAAGAAGAGGCACCATCCAAGCAAGCAGATCTACACATGTCATCACAGGCAAAGCCAAAGTTCCTAACTACAGGAAATACCTCAAGGTCAGTGGTAACAAGGCTGCTTTATTCAGCTTTGTAAGCAACTACATAGCCAATACAGGGCCCAAGAGAATCTCCTCAGAGAACACAGTCATTTTGGCAGGTGGCTTTGAAAATGGTGAGGAGGTCAAAGTGGTCAGCAAGTCAGGTGTTGACAACTTGACAGATCTGTATAGTGACCAGGAGGAGGCTGACACCAGATTGGTATTACATGCAATACATCTAGCAGAGTCTCATTCTCGGGTCGTCATCAGATGTGATGATACCGACGTACTGGTTTTGCTTGTGTATTATTCCAGCAAAGGAATGTTTGGATCCTCAACGGTGTTCATGCACTCTGGATATGGCCCAAGGGAGAGGTTTGTCCCAGTCTGTCCCATCGCAAAGAAGCTTGGTGCAGCATGTTGTGCATGTCTACCTGCATGCCACGCCCTCACAGGTTGTGATACCACATGCAGCTTGTACAGAATTGGGAAGGCTACTGTGTTTACAAGACTTAAGACCCATCTGAGTGACTTAAATGAGATGGCCAGTTTTGGACTTTCTGGAAGTCTGGAGGAGGCTATTCCTGTGGCAAGAAAGTATGCCCTCCTTCTGTATGGCCAAAAGAAAAGGGAGGATGGCCGTCCTTGCACCACCTTGGATGAGCTGAGGTACACACTAGCATCTACAGCAGATTCATCAGCTGCAAATCTACCCCCAACAGAAGATGCCTTCCAGCAACATGTATTAAGAGCCATGTACCAGACCGCAGTGTGGTGTCACAGCCATGTGGCCAAGCCTCATCTCTGGAACCCAGTTGGTAGAGGGTGGAGGCTCAGAGAAGATGGGTCTATTGAACCAGTGATGTTCGTCAAATAATCTGCACCTAAAGAAGTCAGAGACATCACCCACCTATACTGTAAGGACGGAAAGTGCAATGATAGCAGCAAATGCCAATGTCTTTCAGTAGGCTTGACCTGCACAGAGTTTTGCTCTTGCTCTGACTGCCCAAATGTGAGCCATGTTGTTTTTGATGACAATGTGGATGAGTGATAGAGATGTGTTTATATGCATGTATCCCCCGGCTCCCACTAGCTTAGGTTTACTTAAGTTTAGATAAGAACATTTAATTTGAATACTAAAGTTTGTTAATCCAAAAACCTGTTTCCTTGTCTCTATGTCTCACCTTCTAGTCCCTGGCACATTTTGGCTGCAGTTGGGCATAACAGTGTATAAAGACACCATAAACGTTTAGTGACATAACTCGATGAGTATGTAAGGTACCTTTACACAATTGGTATTGCTGGATTCAGTAGAACCACACCTTTTCAACAAGCCCTTGTGTGTGTTGCTATGGCAATCCATGTCAGGGTCACTACAAAGTAAAGAGATCATTCTACATAGATACATTTCCGCCTATTGTAGGTATGTGTTCAAATGACTGTATCTCCAATTTACAGTAAGATATTGACATTCAGTATTTTCTATAATGCAGAGGGATGTCCTGACCTCAGGTATGCCAAGTTTTAATCAGACCTTCCATTGTGAATCTACATGAGTTGTTATGCCTCAACCCCCAGACGGCCAACCTTTATTTTTAGTGTGGGGTGTCTAACTTTATATATCAATTTCACAACTTTTGCAGTAAAATATTTGTATACAACAATCCATTTCATGTATGGGAGGCCTTAGAGATGAGGAAAAAGTAAGTTGTGTTTTGTCCTAACTCCGGGAGGGGTATCTCAAAAATGTTGGGGCCATTGTCACTAGCCTAATAGTCTCCCCCATGGTTTGCTGTGCTGCCTGGGGATGCTCCAATCGCTCAGAGAAAGGAGTACAAATGTACGGCTTCCCCACTGACACAGAGAGGAGGAAAGAATGGCTGGCTCAAGTCAGCAGGAGCAATTGAACTATCACAACAGACAACAACAGCAACAAAACATGTGAGGTAATCATATATCACACGAGACCGTTCGACCCGCTGTAGTACATATGCCGAGCCTGTAAGTGGCGCTGTACTTCTGCCACAAAATACACCAAAAGCAGCGAAGAAGACTTCCCGTGGTGCATGGTTGCACTACTGTTTATTCTCCGCGGTGGACGCTCTGGCTCTTTTTTTCCCTCCCCGAGGCAAGCGTGTGCTCCTGCTATAAATCTCTCCGGTAGTCCACCAGCAGATGAAAAACACCCACCTCTCCGCCTCTTCCAAGGGTCGAGGGAACCGTGCGGCAGTTTCCGTTAGATTTTTTTTTCGCCGGTCAACAAGTCCGTTAAAGTTGATATCTTCCGGACAAAATTAGAAAAGTGCCGGTCAGAGGTCTTCTTTGTTATTTATTGAGCTTTAAAACAAATTGATAACGACTCTATATAAGAATACAAAATGGAGCCTCTCTTTTCCTCCCTTTCTTCTGACAGCCCAGCAGCTGATCTCTGAGCAGGAGAGGTGGGGAGAGGCGGGGCTAATTGCTTCATCGTTATCAGGAAATGTTCGTATAGGCCAGGGTGTAGACACGGAGCCGTTTGGCCCCCCAGAGCGTTGCGTTCCCAGATCTACCCACCATGGGACCCGTTATCATAATCTGCGTTTCCCTGTCGGCCTTGTGTGGCCAAACCTATATGATAGAGAACTGTAGCGGATACGACCGTTACCGTTCTCGTGTGGCTGCAGCCTTAAACTGGGCCATGCTGCATAATGAGATATTTCACTTTAGGTATTTAAAGTATCTTTTGATCTGCTCATACTTTTATACTTTTAATTAAGTACAATTTTAAATGCAGTACTTTTACTTGTAACTGTGTATTTTTACACTGTTATATTGCTACTGTTACTTAGTCAATAATCTGAGTGCTTTTTCATCTCCGTTTGTGTGTTATGAGGTGAAGAGGGGAACTTGGAATCATCTCTTCTGTACATAATGGAAGAAAATATTTTGGACGATATTAAAAACAAGACAACCATATAACTGTAACACACATGCATGTTTATTGCACATCAAACAAGCAAGGTGATGACTGAATATCTCAGAGCCAAACCTCTCCCCCTCCACCCAGGCAAATAATGACACACGACACTAAATGGAAAACATGAGAGCTACAGGAAAGACAGCCCATAGAAAACAACTGAAATATAAGCAAGAAACCCCAAATGAACACACACACACACACAGTAAATCGGGTGTTATATATTATCAATTTGCATGGCGTGTTCTCCAGCCCCTGTCCGTCTGTTTGTGGAGAATATTCAACAGTACAATAACTTGAACTCTTGAGTTCTAAAGCTTCACATGGACATCTAGTGGGAGGAGGCTGCTCATTGTCATCAATGTTTGGAAACTCCATCAGTTTATGAAAAAATACTGATGTAAGGCTTTGAGGTAACTATATCCAAGGTCAAAAAAACATAAACGCTTAAACATCCAATAAGTTATTTACCAGACCAAATGTCTAAAAGCATTGCAGTAATGTTCATTCCACTTAAAACAAATACAGCAAACCTAAAACAATATAAATGTTTTCCTGAGGGTGGTGCTTAAGGCTGGAGCCACACGAGGACGATAACGCAAACGGACCGAAATCGATATCAAAAAAGTCTTCAGTCCACACGCAATAGGCACCAGAAACGTGTCCGTTCACACGAGACCGCTCGAAAGCGCTGGAGACGCTGTAGTTCATATGCCGGTAGTCCACCAGCAGATGAAAAACACCCATTTCTCCGCCTCTTCCAAGGGACGAGGGAACCGTGCGGCAGAGTTTCAGTTCGATTTTCTTTCGCCGGTCAACATGTCCGTTAGTTTAAATCTTCCGGAGAAAATTAGAAAAGTGCCGGTCAAAGGTCTTCTTTGTTATGTATTGAGCTTTAAAACAAATTGATAACGACTCTATATAATAATATAAGAATAAAAAACGGAGCCTCTCTTTTCCTCCCCTCTTCTGACAGCCCAGCAGCTGATCTCTGAGTAGGAGAGGTGGGAGAGGCGGGGCTATTGCTTCAACGTTATCAGAAAATGATCGTATAGGCGTAAACACGGAGCCGTTTGCCCCCCCCCAGAGCGTTTCGTTTGCAGATCTACCCACCTAGGGACCCGTTATCATTTTATGCATTTCCATGTCGGCCTCGTGTGGCCGAACCGTCTATATGATAGAGAACTGTAGCGGTTATGACCGTTATCGTCCTCGTGTGGCTGGGGCCTAAGAGAGTAGTCAAAATACAAGGGCATTATTCACATCAAATTAAAGATGGATATTTTTGGACTGATGATGATCTGTCGAGGAAAGGTCAAGGGTTCACAAAAACATTCTGCATCATCTTCTGGGAACCAGTGATCTCTGATCCACTACACCACTGTATACACTGGCTTCTATTAGTGGCATGTTGTGATTTATCTTTAAAGCCTAACAACATTACACAGAGCTATGACACACACTGCACTGAGGGAACCAGTCACATGACTCAATCATCCTAGTTACACATATTTATGCAATCCTCCATTATCTCATTAAGTCATTTTTTTACTTTGAAGAATTGGACTTGTTCTCATGAACATCATCATTATATCACTCTGTTAAATTATGTGAAACTTTTTTACCCCACATTTTGGAAGGATGTTGTGTAAATTACATGTTTTTTTAGTGTGGAGATGGTTTCCTAACTTCATTAGCCAGTCTTCCTGACTTGCTTTAGGCATTGAGAGGATCATTGTCAGAAATAATTAAGATATCCAGACAGGACATAACAGTTCTGATCCTTTCCCACAATAATATGTCATGAGGCTGTCAGATGCTAAGAATAATGACAATTTCCCAACAAAGTTACCACACACCAAAATCAACCACAGACCCAAATCAATATAAATTGGAATGATCTTTTTATGGATTACGTAATGTCTTTGTTTGAATCCCTCACAAATTCTTTGTTGTAAAAACATAATGTTTCACACCAAATCAACCAAACTTCACTGTCAACAAAATTATCGAGTGTGGTGGTTTGTGGGTTCATTGCACACTTATTACTGGAATAGAGTGGTGCAGTGACGCATCCTAAAACCCGGGAGTGAGCTGCGCATGGGTTCCCTCAACAAAAAAGCGATCTAATCGATAGATTTATGATAGATAGATTTATGATTCTAAAATTATTCAACATTACATTGCTTTTTTGTCGAGGGAACCCATCCGCAGCTTAATTCCGGGTTTTAGGACGCGTCACTGCACCACTCTTTAAGAGTAACTGTGTAATGACCCGCTGGCCTCAACAAACAAAGCTGTTGCTCACAGTTACAAGCCTTTGATGAAAACAGTCATCTGCTAGATGGAAACCTTTTCAGACATACGTGTTTTACATATCCACAGATCAACATACCACTAGTGTACAAGAAGACAAGTAAGTGTGTGTGTGTGTGTGTGTTTGTTTCCTGTTGTCTGGTCCATTAGCTCAGCAGTTCAAGGTAGGTGACAGGGACTTTGCCCTTTTGGTTCCCTCGTTCTCCAATCAACCAATCAGGGTCCATTCCTGGTACAGTGTACACGGTGATGAGCTGGAGAGACAGAGGAGGATAGGTCAAGACACATTTGGAAAAAGATGTTTAACATTTAACTAATGATTAGCAAGTCATTTTCAAAGAGAAATCGGATTCACGCAGACCTCTGCATTGATTCATTTCATGAGTTTGCTTCACAAGGACCAAGGTATGTGGAGGATTCAAGTCTTTGACATTTGGTTTCCTGCACCACGAGGAAAAACATTACAGACGGAAACACTTTTCAATTTGGAAGAGCCACAGATAGTAGGGTAACTTCCTCTGTTACTCAGTAAGCAGTAAGCTATTTATAAAAAGAACAATGGAAACACATTCTTAGTAATTAAGTAAGTAAGTAAAGTTTATTTTTAAAGCGCTTTTCACAGACAAAGTGCTTGACAAAACAATAAGACATCAACATAGGACAACAACAATGATCAATGAACACACAAGACACATGTTAAGAAGTCATAAAAACACCAGAACATAATTAAGACACAATAAAACAATTCTTACAAACAAAATAAAAACAAACAAACAAATTTAAAACATAGTATAAAATGGAATAAAATCAAGCACACCGGTTACCCAAACAGAGTCCGCAGACCGTAGATGAGCGGGCAGAGCATTCCATAGTTTAGGAACCACAGCTGCGAATGCTCGATCACAGCGGGTCTTAAGGTGGGTACGTGGGACAGACAGTACATTTTGCATGCGGGCTGATGTATAAGGATGTATTAAGTCGGCCACATAAGCAGGAGTCTGACCGTGCAAAGCTCTGTAGGTGAGAGTGAGGATTTTGAAGGTGATTGTCTCTCACCTGTACACCTTAAAAGAGTACTCCATCGATTAGGGATTGTACTAATTGACCCTAACCCACAGCCCTTATCCCAGGCCTCTAACCAAAATGCTTACTAATTTCAGGGTTATAGGGTCCATTCCTGCACCACTCTATGCAGAGTGAGGAGCGTCTGGCTTCAGAACTACTTTCCACAGGTCCAGAAATGTTTCTCTTTAAACATGTAGTCTTCTGCTCAAACCAACGCTGCCTCGGGTGAGTTTACTTCACACACCTCCCTCTGGAGACACTAAGGGAATCAAACAAGTTAACATTCCCAACATCTAGAAACCCACTTTGCCGTGTAAAATCGGTAGAGTTCTCCTTTAAATGTCATTTACACGAAGGTCCTATAAAGATATTTTCACTGAACTAGAGCTCAGCGCTGTGTGTTCCTGTGAACATACTGAAACCCAAACCAGAACAGTTTGAATTGGATGCTAATGTTTGCCACTCAATTTCATTTCCAGCTTTTTTGCTAAGAAAAATAAATAGAAACCTTGTACCCACAGTGGTATAAAAAGTGTCTCACAAGAACATGTCTGACTTGCCATGGGTATACTGTCTGCCAACACTTCCAAAAGATTATATCAATGTTTTTCATGCATCCTTAGGAGACAGTGATTCAACGTTACCGTCTAGACCAGGGGTGTCAAACTTATTGTTGTTCAGGGCCACATTCAGCCACATTTGAGTTGTGGGCTGGACCAGTAAAATCATAGCATAATAACCTAGGAATAAAACCAGGTCCAAATTGTTCCCTTTGTTTGGTGCAAATATTCTGAACATCTTCACATTTAATGAACTCTCTTTTTACAAAACATTATGAACAACCTGCAATTTCTTAGTGTAAGAAGTATGTGCAATTCTGACAGTTTTGTTCCTCAGTTTATCATTTACACATTGCATTACGACTGATCACAGTGAATCCACAAAGGCATAACAGTCCCCGGTATCTGGAACTGAACAATATTGTATTTTACTTTATGATCAAAACTACTTTTCAAGATCTAGAAATGATTTGACATTCATTTCCACATGTGTGCACTAATCCTGACCTCCAGCATACAGACTAGAGTGGGAACTATTTTCTTACTTTGGAATATTTTAGCTTGATTTCACTTACTCAGCCTACTGAAGATGATATAGACTAAACTTGAAAACAATAAGCCTTTTTCTCAGTATACATACTGTGGATTTGCTCCTGAATCGTTCACATTGAAGTTGCCATAAGAGATCACTTTAGATACTCATTCCAAGTTAATTACTACAGATATCAATAATTCTTGCAATGTGCATATCAGCATGTGTTATCGGCACTGTTCATGTACCAGTCACATAGCTTACTAACTCAAATACCAATATCTGCTTCCTGTTTATGAGTTGGCCAGACATTGCTCCGTGTGCAGATGTTAATGTGTGAGGTGAGTCACACTCAGAATTCCACTGTACCTCATCAGCAAGAAGTGAAAGCTCGCTGGAATCATGGGCGTCGTAGTCATACAGGACCTTGGCCTTCCTGGTGCCTGTGACTGGGAGCTGTGTCTGCTCCATGGACAGCGTGCTGGGCCTCTGGCTAGACAAAGAGGAGACTGTGGCCCCTGGAGATGATGGTCCAGACAGGAATGCCGAAGAGACAGGGTCAGGGCAGACGGCAGCAGGAGGCTGGGGGACGCTGGCAGCATTAGCACATCTGCATGAACATTAGAAGAAATAAACAAGAGCTGAGTTGTTGTAGTGGATTCCCAGGTTGTTTGTTTGAGGCTGTCAATGCTATGTGTGAAGTACAGAGAGCAGCCACATACTCAGGGCTGGGAGGGACACTTTGGAAATGTAATCTGTTACAATCACTAGGTACAAGTCAAAACATTTAATCAGCAACATAATCTGAGTATCAAAATATAAAAGTAATGTAAGCTGATTACTTGCCGTTACTTTTGGTCAAATATAAAATGCAATTAAAATAACTCAAAGAGAAAATAAATAACAATAAGATGTTTTTTACTTTTTTGTTTACATGTAATGATGAAACCTTAGAAAAGAAGAAACCAAGATATTTCATTTAACATTTTTTAGAAACAGTAATAGTTCACAAATGCTGTTAAAGCTTAATACATTAATCAAAAGCCTAGACTGTAATTGAAATAAACAATAACAAAATAAATGTATCAAAAATAAAGAAGAATTAAAGTAGCCTTAATATAATCCATAAAGAAAATGTATCTACCTATAATATATCGATCTCTATATCAAAATGCTGCTAGTAATTTAAACGTAACGGTAATCTGATTACTTATTGCATGTCATTTTAACCGAATACAGTTACCTTTTTTTTGCATCCTGATTATGTGCTCTGTTACATGCCTGCACATACTTGTAGAGTGATGGTGTTCTGTGTTGAGAGGATTTATGTCTCTTGACGTGGCTGTGGTGCCGCTGTGGTGCAAAAACAACAGCTGTCACCCGCTCAATTAAAAAACTGATTTGGAAGCTTGATTCTGGTATTTAGATAGATTTATCTGTAGAACTTTAATGTATTGTATAATTAGTAAAGTATTTTTCCCATCAGCTCCTTTATTTCAGAAACTTACATTTCTTACAATTAATGATACTCCTAAATAAAGCAATTTTATTGTTGTTAAAAACAAATCAATTCACTGATTGACTCGATTGAGTTTTTGTTATCATTAGCCCTTTGGAGGTAGACAGTTTGAGTCAACACAGATTTACATTTCACTACAGTCTGTCCATTCTATAAACCTACAGACTCTCTAAATCAGGGGTGCCCAACCTTTTTTGAACCAAGAGCTACTTTTAAAGTTGCCAGTCTGCCGAGATCTACCAGTCCAAATAGAGAGACGTAGCCATTACTGACAGCCTACTACCAGGTAAATACACACTTCTACTTGTATAAAAATGACCTTTGTACGATTAATACTCCATAAAATACTGCAGATCCTTTATCTTAACTCTTTCTAATCTACATACATACAAGTATTTAACTGAAGTTACACAACAGTGTTGTTGATACAGAGTTGGAGTTTATTCACACGTCACTACAGTGGGTAATGTTTTCAAGAAACATTGAAAAGTGCTGCCACATATGACACAGGGAAAAAAGAAAAGAGTCTGAACCCTTTCTTTGCCATTAAAATTAGGCTTACTAATAAGACAACTCAGATCTGAAGCTACACAGGAATCTGCTGCCAAAGTGCAATAAAAAAGACAAAATTAATAGAATCAAACCCTTTTTTTGTTGCATTTTTTTTTATTTTTTTAAATAGGATGCAAGCAACACTAGTTTCTTAACCTGAATTGATAATAGACTATAATCAATTTATGTTTGCATTCTTATACCATTTTGTACAATAATTATAATGAATAAGTTCAAACAAACGGTATCCAACTTGAGTTTTTATTATATCAAAAACCTGTTGAAATGCTGCTGTTATTTTTACTGTCCCAAAAAAGCGCGTCGGCAGCCTCCAGGAATGCTTCTTTCACAACTTCGCCGTCTTTGAAAGACTTCATGTGTTTCGCAAGAACGTGACTGACACGATAAGATGCTCTGGTAGCAGCCTTGCTCTTGTTGTTGGGCCTGGTGAAAATGGACTGCTGTGCATTTAGCTGTCCTTTCAGGCCCCTCCCCTTTTGGGAGTGTAGGGCAGAATTAGGAGGGAATTCCGTCTCGTAGCGTTTGTGCACTGTTTTGAAATGCCGCCCCTAAATGACCCTTCTTCGATAAAGCCACGCTCGCATTGCAGATGAGACAGATGGACTTTGAATTGGAATAGATACAAAAATAATCATCCTCCCACTCGGAGTGAAAATTATATATTTTGGGCTTTTTTGCTTCTGCCATAAATGTGGTCTAGTGTGTGTGGACTGTCACTCCTGTTGACATGGACAACGTCAGCGAAATAGTGCCCACTGCCCACCAGCCACGCCCCCATACATGGGGTCACGCCGGCCAATCACAAGTGCATTATTCTGGCACGGGAAGATTATGTTATTGAACATTAACGATAAAACAAAATATTGTTGTTCTATTTTTAGACACATCTCGCGATCGACTGGGAATCTCCCCGCGATCGACCGGTCGATCGCGATCGACTGGTTGGGCACCCCTGCTCTAAATGAACACCACTGCTTAATTAAGACGGTTTGTTTGCTGATCAGGCGTCAAAAAGATTCCTGCGTCAAGACATTAGTTTAGGTAGTGAAAAAGACCATTTAAGTCTACAAGTGTGGTAAATCAGTATTGCGTCAGTAGGGAGTTGTGTTAGAACCACAGGCATGCAGCCACCAACACCAGTGACGAGGAGTTTGTTTTTCCATTTTCCGTCCAGTCTACTGACCTCAGGATCAGTGTTTTTCAGAGTGAAGAGAGTAATAGTGATTTATATTAATCATGATTCATGAATGTTTAAAGGTCAACGATCATGCTATTTTTAGGCAATAGCATAGGTCTTAGATATATAAAAATATATAAAAACATGTCTGAAGGGTTTTGCTCAAAATACCAAACAGATCACCCATTCTAGTCATGCCTCATATCCCTCCGTGTCAGCCCTGTAACTAAAGTGCTGATTCGGGGTATAAAGCTTTAAAAAAAAGATTATGCCTGCTCATGCGGGACCAGGCAGATACTGTCTAAATGCTGCGGTGATGAAACGCCATATCATGTTCAAAACCACATCAAGGATTATTTTTGAAACAGTATGGAGCTCAAATGCTTTTTCTCTTGCGGGTTTACCACAAGGTGAGTTCCTTTTATTATTTCCTGCTTCTTTACACATCCACTACAGGTTAGCTCTGAGTGTTAGCGATGCTTGCTAATGTAAACACAGACCATATTACTTCCAAAACACGTCGGGCATTGTTTCTGATAGCAACTTTCTGGTAGGGCCGTGGGTCCACCATCCGATATGACGTACGTCATACGCAAATCTGGATCAGCTCCGTTGTTCCCCCGTTTTTAGAGATTTGGGTACGGAGGACACACTTTGTGAGTTCCCTGACACAAAGGGGACACATATTTATGTATAAAAGACATCACAAAGTGCATTTTGCATGATAGGTCCCCTTTAAAAAGGTAAATGAGAAGATTTAAAGTAGTGTGGTGGCACCATAATTCACCTTGCTTATTGTGTTGCCACACGGACCCTTTAGTGGGGAACACCTGTAGCTTTAGCTGCCATTCCTGCTAGCTCATCAGGCAGAGCAGTTCATGTGTTAACCTCTCTGATTAATGGATAGTAAAGATTAGAACTCCATTCTTAATACACCGCCTCCGACTCTCTTTTCACGGCACTACACTGGTGACCCCGACTTTTCCGAGAAAGTTTCCGGAAAATTAACGAACATGGCTGAGCGCGATGTTTTCATAAAGCTGCCGGAATTCTGGGAGCACGGTTGGGAGGGAGCATGGGAGGCATGGTTCGCACACGTGGAGGCACACTTCACCTGCCGACAGGTCCGTGACGGGGCAGCGCTGGGGAGCTCCACGTCATCTAGGTTGGTGGGATTTATCGCAGCCCCCCAATACCATGGCAAATATGAGGCGATTAAGGCCCTTCTCCTTGAGACATTTAGCTTATCTGCTAAGGAGAGGGCCCACCAGATACTTGACATTCAAGGCCTAGGAGACAGCAAGCCTTCCCAGCTAATGGAGAAAATGCTAAATCTTCTAGGGGGGGAAGATCCCCGGATTTTATTCAAGGAGATTTTCCTGCGTCACTTGCCTCCCCGGGTCCAGACGGTACGGAGGTGTTTTCCAAGGTGGACCTGGTGCGTGGATACCACCAGGTGCCCATGCACCCTCTGGACATTCCCAAGACAGCAGTGATAACGCCTTTTGGATTTTTTGAGTTCCTGCGGATGCCTTTTGGACTCAAGAATGCCGCTCAGACGTTCCAGCGCCTGATGGATTCGGTGCTGCGGGACCTGCCGTTTGTGTTTGTCTCCCTCAACGACATACTCGTCGCCAGCGCTTCAGTGCAGGAGCACCTGTCCCACCTCCGAGCTCTTTTCATGTGGCTCAACGAACACGGGGTGTCTGACATTGATTTCCTGGGGCACCGCGTCACCAAGGGCGGTGCGGCACCTCTGCCGGCGAAGGTGGAGGCTGTTGCGGCTTTTCCTCGCCCGCTCACAGCCCAGTCGCTCCGTGAGTTTCTGGGGATGGTGACCTTCTACCACCGTTTCATCGCCCGGGCCGCACACATCATGTGGCCGCTGTATGAAGCATTGAAGGGCAAGACCCCCGTCTGGACGGCAGAGGCGGATGTCGCTTTTGCTGAGGTCAAGACCGCATTGGCTCAGGCGGCTTTGCTGGCACACCCATCATCTACGGCTCCCATCTCCATCACCACGGACGCGTCGGACTACGCGGTCGGCGCGGTGCACGAGCAGTGGGTGGAGGGCGCTTGGCAGCCGCTCGCCTTTTTCAGCCGCCAGCTGACGCCCAAAGAATGCAGGTACAGCGATTTTGACCGTGAGCTCTTGGGTCTTTATTTGGCCGTGCGGCACTTCCGTTTCATGCTGTAAGGCCGGGAGTTTAGGGCGTTTGTCGACCACAAGCCACTCACTTTCGCCATGTCTAAAGTGGCAGAGCCTTGGTCGGCACGTCAGTAGCGGCAGCTTTCCTACATCTCTGAGTTCACCACAGACATTAAGCACGTGGCTGGCAAG